AGGGGAAGAGGGGGCGGCACGGGGAAGGGACGGGGAGTGTGGAGGTCCAGCCACACGCCACAAGGCAGAGGGCACAGTTCAGCCAAAAACAGGCAAGGATGGTGGGTGCTGTGGGAGGAGGAATGGACCAGAGGACAGAGAGGCGGAGGTGGAAGGTGGAAGGAGAGGGACGATGATTTTAGAGGTGCAGTGGGAGTTGGGAAAGAGGGACGGCAGAAGGAGACAGTGCGTGGCAGAACCCAAGCGCAGGGCGAATAAAGAAAACAGAGCCCGGAAGGCGAGGACACAGCTGCGCCGGGCGGCAGGCTTGTCTGAGCCGCGCTGGGCTCCCGGCCACCGCGGACAGAGGTACGCGCTGCAGGGTGACAGGTGCACCCGGAGGACGGCCGTGCTGACCAGGTTTTCACCAGAGCATCCAATCAGGAGCAGCCATGGTCCCAGCCAGCCACCGAGTCCACGTGCTCAGGTCTGAGCAGCCAACGGGCCCTCCTCCCTTGTCCAGGGATGTCCCTCAGACTCTCCTCAGGTGTCGCAGAGCTGGTCTCATAAACTGCATCGGCTGTTCAAGGACCCCCCAGTCTCATCCCCACCCCCGTCCCCGCTGCCTTTTTCTAACTCCTGCTTCATTTACCAGTCTGGCCCCATCCCCCTTCTGGGAGCGCCTCCTCTGACTCAACCCGCTGCTCAAGGTCAGCCCACGGTCCTGCTCCTCGGGGAGGCCTTCTCAGTTTTCCCAGTCAGGAAACACTGTCGCTACCACCACCAGCACAAACACCATCGGCTGGCCTCCCCTGGGAGGAGACGGAGGCCGGCCCCTCTGGTGCTGCTGACACTTCCCTGTGACGTCGGCAGTTCAAGCAGACCTGCCTAACCCTGGCTCACCCAGCTCCCCACCTGCGGGGGCTCCTCACGGCACAGGAGCGTGACAAGACCAGGTGAGGACGCTGAGCGGGAAGCGGGGCGTCTGAGGCAGTGCTCAGCCAAGGTGGAGAGGGCCACAGGAGGCCCGAGGTGGGGGCTCTCAGGAGGGAGGAAGTGCGTGCACTGTCCTGGGGAGACACCAGAACTTTGGGGGGAAGGAGGAAGTGGACACAGACCTAAAGGGGCCGTGGATTTTAAAATATTTAGAAACCCGCATCTAGTTTGGATTCTAAAACTGGGTTTCTGTGGACGCAGAGGAGGTGGCCATGCCACCCTCTGACCACCAGAGGGCGCCGGCAGAGATTTCTTGGGAAGGACGGCTTGGTGGGCCTCCTGCATCAGTGGTAGTTTGATGGACACCCGGGATAAAGGGATGCCACAGACTCCAGACAGCATCATTTCATCCTGTATTCAAGCCCAGATGTATCTAGGGGGCTTGTTACACACACACACACAGCTGCACCCAAAACCCTAAAACACCTGGAATTTAAAAAAAAAAGGAAAAATACACACTTAGCTGGCTTCTAATTGAGGCAGGAATGTTCTCCTTGGACCATTGTATGAGAAACGGCCTTGTCTCCTGTGGGCCCCTTCACCCCCGTGTGTGTTACTGAGCCCCTACTTGGAGCATGACTCAGCGCCAAGCGCCAGGAAGAGCAAGCAGGAGATCCCCTTGTCGTCAAGCGCGCACAGCACCCCAGCGCCGGCGCGCCTCGCCCCTGCCCGCCGCCCTGGGGTCCCCGCCTCGCTGGCCGCTCTGCAGCCCCCCTGGTGAAGGATGCCTCCCGGGGCTCCGCCCAGACCCCGCCCGCTGCCTGACCGTCTGAAAGAACCATTACTGCCTTCTGTGCACCCAGCTCACAGGATACTCATCCAACCTACTGCATTTTCTAAAAACAGCAGGAGCTCCCAACACAGAGGGCAGCTTGCCAAAGAACCCGAGGCGTCCCCCGGGGTGTTCAGCCAGCTCTGCGAGGTGGGGCTAAGTCACGATTACAGAGATGTGCCTTTCACCTACCAAACCAGAAAATGAGGATTTCACCTCCCAGAACCTGCCCTCAGGAGGTGTTCAGAGCAAACGCAGTCATCGTGACCTGGCACAAACAGGGCAAACTATTTCAAACCAATTCAATGCCCAATAATATACGCTGAGGCAGACCCACTCCGAGGAATGCTGTATAAAACTCTGCACACAGCAGCATGTGGTGAGCATTTGTGGGCTAATTAGTAAGTGCGATAAATAGCTCCTGGCTTTCATTTCACAGCCCTTCAAGACGCCGTGCAGAAGAGACTACGGAACTGCAAATACGGTGTCACCAGCCTTGCAAACACTGTGTTATTTAAAAACACAGGAAGAAAATGTTTAACACTGGCTTTAACACTAAATTATAATTATTTCTGAGAAATGCAATTTGCGAAGGTGACTTTTAGTCTCTTCATTACAGTTGTCAAACAATGTTCATCATCAGAAAATCACAAACGCTTTTATGTAAAGCGCCCAGTGAGGTCCCATTGCCTGGGTCCCACAAGTACCCAGAAGTCCACCCCTGGGCTCCCGATGACCCTCTCTCACCGGGGGGCAGGGCTCGCAGGTCGTCTTCCTGCATTCCAGCTTGAACCCGGAGACGACCCCCTCCTGGACGGCGCAGCTGCAAGTCGTGCACACGTCAACCATCAGACTCTTCCCGGGCTGGAAGGAGAGGGACCAGGGTCAGGCTTCCCAGACTTCCCGACCCCTAACCCTCCCACTGCCCTCCGCCCCATAAGCCATCTGCCTCAGGTGTGGGAGCCCGGCTGCCCAAAGCTGCCTCGAGTCATCATCCGGATTCTCCTCCTGTCCCAAGTGGCCCTCTCCCTTCCCCACCCTCTCCTCTCAAAGATGGCGCTGGGGAGAGTGGGAGCTTTCACGGCGGACAGGGAGCTGGGGCAGCGGGAGACGGGACAGGATGAAACATGTACAGAAGGAATGCTCGCGTGCCTGGGGTCGGGGCCGGGAGGTGAGTGCTCGGCAGCAGGGCCCTGGCCCCGGAGAGTTAGGGGTTGGGCTCCAGGATGCCTGCGAAGCCCTGAAGGACGGGAAAGTGAGGGTGGGGTAGGTCTCCCTGGTTCCTTTCATTCCACTTCAGAATGACACCCTTCCCCCAGCACCCTGTCCCTGCCCCCCAGCCCGCCCTGGAGAAGGCGGCAGCTCACCCCAATGATGGTGTCGTTGAGTATGCAGGCCTCCATGGGCTCTGGGGAGAAAGGGGCACAGGGCATGAGTGTGCAGGACACACCTGGGAAAACCCACCACCCGGCGGTCCTCCCGGCTGGGCCCCCTCCGCCATCTGCCGGTTGTCCCCCTCCGGCTCACACCAGGCACCGTGGGTCCCGCTGCCAGAGCCCAAGTGGCCTCGCTGAGGAAGGACAGCTGCCTGCTCCCCGCCCTGGAGTCCCCAAGGGGAGGGCACTTGTCTAAATGATTCCCGCTTAAGGGGTGAGTGGGAGGATGTCTGGGCTCATGAAAGAATGAAATTCTACTTTGGAAACTTTAAGTCCCAAGATAAAATCACACAAAGACTTCAGAGCAGGTGGTGCCGCGAGCTGTTTGCTGCTGCTGGTTGTTGGTTGATGGGTTGGTTGGTTGGTTGATGAGTTGTTTGTTTGTTTGGTTGGTCGGTTGGTTGGTTGGTGGGTTGCGGATGGGCAGTTGGAACACCTTCCCCAGCAGGATGACTGAGAAGGTGTCTCTAGAATCGAGAAGCCGGGGTCCGGTCCCAGCTGCACCACTCGTGGGAGTGAAGGGAAGCACACCGGTACCCACCTCGCGGGGCTGCCGTGAGGATGACATGAGACAAGGTACAAAGCCAGCCGGGGCACAGTGATGACCTTCAGGACATTGTCTTATCTCCCTCGTCTTATCTGCTTTCTCCCCAAAGCCTCAGGGACGGATGGGGAGATTTGATCCTGCCCATTTCCCTGAGTTGCCCAACAGGCAAGGATCTGGGCGTCCGTGGTGGAAAGAGAGGCTTGTCGACGAGGCCCGGGCCGCGCGTCTTACCACAGCGACAGGCGGGGCAGCAGTCGGAGGCCTTGCAGCTCAGCTGGAAGCCGGGGGGGCAGGTGGGGATGGCCAGCTGGGGGCAGGAGATGTTCCTCTGCTGCACAAAGACCTCCTCCTTGACTCGGACGCACTCGTGGATGAGGCAGGGGTTCTCAGGGGAGACCCAGTGAGAGCCCACCTGCAGGCAGAGCAGCGGGGTCAGTAGGGAAGGGGGCCAAGGTCCTACTGGGAGGGGGCTGTTCCCTCAGGAGCCGGTTTGCGCCCTGGAGGTGAGCCCTGCCTACAGGGTGAAGCCCACAGTGGGGGAGACCGGCACTCACCCGGTCTGGGTCAGAGTCGCTCTGACCAAGATCCTAGCTCAGAGTCACATGTGCCCCCAGGATAGGGTCTTCAGCCACTGGAGGAAGCACTGGGGACGCTCCCCCCACCCCCAGCCCGGCTGTGAGCTGAGTGACCAGGAATGCGGAGGGGAGATGTGGAGAGGGAACCAGCCCAGCACCCAGCCCGTGCTGCTGCCCTCTGGTACAGGGAGACAGCAAGAGACGGGATGCTGGCATCTGACCCTCAGCCCTGCAGTCTGCCCCTGAACTTCCAGGCTGCACACGAGTGGCCTGACCCTCAAGGGCTGGCTGCACAGTCAGAGAGCACCGAGTATCCAGAACACAGTTCAGAAAAGTCCCTGTAGAGGCTGCGCACGGACAGCGTGTCCCCGCAAGCACGGTCTGTGTAAGCCGGCTCCCAGACGCAGGAGCAGGCGCACCTGGCCCGGCCGACTTCTCTCAGCCCCTGCCCCCTTCCTCCTTCCAGACGAGGAGCAGAGCGCTGCACGCTTGCAGCCCCTCTTTTCACCCCCACTTCTGACTCACCCCGAGCAAACCTTCCCTCCGACGGGCCGCACCCCACTCTGATCATGCAGCTGCTGAGCCTCGGACACGGGCTGCATCAAGGGGCCCCGTCCTGACCCACTCCCGTCGGCCCTCCTGAGCCCCCAGCAGCAGCAGAGCCACTGCTGACACCCAAGTCTTGTAGGTAAGATGGAAACTTGAACTGAGGAGGGAAACTCTTCCGTACACACTGACGTGGGCCAGGGCTGAATGAGCCCTGGAGGGACATGAGAGCCCGGAAGCAGGCAGGGGCAGGAAACTGTGCCTAAAAGGGACCAACGGTCAGCCTCCACCAGGATGGAGTGGCCTCTGACCCGGGGAGGAGAGGCAAAACCTGCCAGATTCCAGGACGGATGGGGAGCGGAAAAGCTAAAAGGGTGGGGAGGAGGGACACAGGCAGGGAAATAAATCCACAGGTAACCGGGATTCGAGGAGGGAGGTGGGAGCCTTGAGGAAATCTCACGGAGGAGGAGAAGGCTGATGGGCCGGCATAGGAGATGGTCATATCCAGGACAAGAAAGGTGCCCTCCGCCCCCTTCTGGACCGAGTGTGTCGAGGTCTTCCTGGAGGACACAGACGGGGAGGGCCTGCAGGTGCACCTCACACCTCCCAGCACCTGACTGCCTGAGGGTTCCGGGGCCGGGCACCTCCCACATCGTCCTCAGCGACCAGCATAAAAGACCTGCTACATTCCCGGCGTCTGGACTAAAACCCGAGGAAGGACCCTCTGTGTTTCAGAAAATGGCCTGATGAGCATCCAGAGCCGAAGCGGGAGCCTGAAGACCACGAGGAGCAGCCCCACTGCTCTGCTCTGGGGGAGGGAGCCTGGCTGGGCGAGGCCTGGCAGGAGACAAGGGCGGGGAGACGGGGGCTGCCAGCACCGTCAGGTGCCACGGCCAGAGGTGCAGAAATAGCTCAGGGACTCGGGGAAGAGGACTACTGTTCGCTTCTCTGGGCAATGAACGTCTCCAGCGGGAATCAGTGAGAATGCAGGGACCTGCCCGGGCGCCACGCGTGTGAGGCGTGGCGGAGTGGCCGGCCCCCAGCACGTCGGGCGCCCGCCATCGGGGAGCAGGGCCTCAGGTGCCCAGGTAAACAGGACAGCATCCCCCCCAGGGGTTCCCAGAACTCAGAGGGAGGGAACTGGGCTTCTCCCGAAATCCGCAAGACAGGAAGTCAGGGGCAACGTGAGATCCCAGCCGGCATCGGGATGAGCCAACAGCCAGACCAAACTCCCTGCCGGAAAAGCAAACAGCAGGGACCACGCTTCTATTTTACGGACGGAATCCAGGCCAGTACTGGACCTCAGATGGACAGGCACGCCGGTGAGGGCGCTGCCGTCTTCCTCCCCCCACCCCGGGACCCAGACCTACGCTCTTCCAGGAAGAATGGTAGTCTCGCCGCAGTGAGCCGATCATCACCTCGCAGGCAGACGGCAGGCACCTGCCGCAGCACTCGCCTTCGTGCAGGATGTAATCGAAGCCCTGGAAAAACACGAAGGGCAGAGAGTCAGGACGGGCCGGCCACACAGACACAGGCGTGCTTGTCCCATCGGCAGGTGGACGGAGCCCGGGGCTTGCAGAGAGCCAGCGGGACCGGATGTTTGCATCTCTGTCCTCCGCCAGCCTCGCAGACGTGCCAAGTGGTCAGGAAGCGTCAACCACGGAGTCACTGCAGCTCCTGCACCTGCTGAAGAGACACAGCCCTGCCCTCCAAAAACTTCCACTTAAGGCCAAAAGACAGGCCACGGGCATGTTGAAGACAGCTCAGCGCACACTCGGCAGCAGTGGGCGAGCTGAGCTGACGTTGACGATGGCCCAAATCCAGGCCCCACAGTGATGGGGAGAGCGTGCAGGACGCCTGGGGTCTGGACTCTGCCCTAACAGGGCTAACTGCCTGTACGAGATGATCCCGCACCTCTCCCCAGCGTGCAGAGCTGGGTTTCCCCAGCTGGCTACCTGACATTTGCCTGGTAGATTACAGGGCACAGGGAGATGAGACAAACCTTCCCCAGAAAGCCTGCCAGAGAGGCCAGCATCCTACACGTGTGAAGTCGGCCAGGCTCTCTCGCCTCTTGGAGGTCCTCCAATCTGGCCAAAGCATTGAGAACTTGGATTGAAACCCTCCACTGAAGACTGAAGCCACGTACAAAGAACAGGCAAAGCAATGGTGGGTGAGGGTGTCCCAGGGGCCAAGAGGTGGGAACCCAGGGCCGGGCGGGAACCGAGGGCCGCGCTGCATCCTGGAGAGAAGGGGTGTCTGCAGCTGCTCAGGACGCACAGGGGAGCCGAGCCCACTCTGGTCCCCAAGCACATCCACAAGCAGGGCCAAGTCTGGAGACGCACACAGCGCTCGGTGTCACCCCAGCTGGTGCCTCGGAGCGTGAGGCCCCGGAGACCTGGCTCGACTTCACGCCGTCTCCATGGGACCTGCTCACAGCCCGAGCCACGTCAGAGCGGCGCCCGGTTGCCTTCGGGGTCTGAAAAGCCACGATGCGCTGAAGTCCAGGCTCAGTAAAGCCACGTGCAAGTGGAATTTGCGAGAAAGTGAAGCCTCCTCCCTGGCCTGCAGGAAGGAGCTGGCCGAACGGACAGAGAGGCAGAGACAGGGCCTCACGGGACAGAGGGAGAGAAAACGTGTGCAACCGTGGTGTGCACCCACACACCCCCGCTCTGCTTCTGAGGGGCCCCTGCCTTCCCCATTAATCCCCTTTGTATTTTAACCAGCTTGAGTGCTCTGTGTTCTTTGCGATCCAAACTGCACAAGATACACTGGGTGCCAGCTTTACTAAAACAGCCTCTAAACAGCACTCTTTTCCTGACAGTGTATTTCCCTTGCCTCCCGTGGCCTGTGGGAGGAGATGGATGGGTTTCCAAAACTCGGCGTTCCCACAAGGCACATCTGGATACCACAGCGTCATCTGCTCCCAAGGGAGCCTGGCAACCCCGCTCCTCTCCGTACCAGCAAAGGAGATGAACTGAAAGGATCCCCCCATTTTTGGCCTGGATCTCAGGCCCTCCGTCCCGCCCATCGCCAAGCCACACACACTTCCAAAACAGCAGCAGGGGCGCCCCCACCACAAGGTGCGTGGACCTGCCTGCCCCGCCTGGTCTTCCTTCATCATCATCGTCTGCTGATAATCACACAGTAACGGTAACAAAAACAGCACTGAACCAGCAAGCGGAATTCGGCCCACGGTCCCCCCCCGCAGACGCCTGCTCCCGCTCTCCAGTCTGCTCAGTCTTTAACGTGTAGGAATAAAGTGCCCAGGACACGCGGGAGCTTTGGGGGCAGGCCACGACCAGAAGAATTAAAAACTGAGCTCGGGGGTTAAAACCCCCAAATTATACCTCCACTTATAAACGTGCCTCGGCTTCAGGACCTCAGATTATAAACACGGTCTGAAAAATCACCAGTCCACGTAGAAACGCTATGGCCCACTGATGCTGGGACAATCTCAGAAAATCCAGAACATATGTCCATAGTAGGTTTAGATCTTAACTTTCTCCTTAGATAGAAAGATCTCTTCTGAAGGGGGAAGAGAGAGGGGAAAAACTCAAGCCCCCTTTTCTAGGCAGTTAATCCACGTCTCTGCGTCAATCAGCTCCCCAGGCCTCTGGACTCGAGGCCATGCAGCAGGCGTGGCCATCAGCCAAGGGCCGAATCACAGAGGGAAGAGCCCGCAGCCCTCTCCTCGGGCTCCCTCCTCTCACCCAGCCCCACCCCCTCCTCGCCCCCCACCTCTGGGCCTGAACCAGAGGTTACTAAAGGGGCTCTCCTGCCCATTCCTGGGACCCCTCCCCTACTTCCCGGTCCCCTCGCCCCACGCTGTGACAGCCCCTCTGCCCCCCTCACCGGCTGGCAGCTGTCTTCGCAGGGCTTCTGAGAGCACTGGGCCACACGGAGACCCATCACTGCATCCTCCAGGTCAGTGCAGGTGCACACGTCACAGCCCTCCTCCCAGAACTGGCCCACAGGGTAGACGGTGCCTCGGTGGACGCACACCTGCGGACACGGGGTTCCCATGAGTGCCTGCACTCAGTTAGGAAGCACCAACCACGTGTGGGAAGCCACCCAGGCGCTGAGAACACAGCCATAAACGAACCAATGCGGTCTCTGCCCACATGGAGGGAGGCTTATGCAGCAGATTTTGCCCTCATCCCTCTCCAGCCCAGGAGCCGTAGACAGGCCATCTCCAGTCTCCCGGGAGTGGCCCCTTGTGAGTCCTCCACGGCCCACGAGCAGGCTGCCTCGATCCACGTTCACTGCTGCCTTAACTGCATTTAACCTCTTCCTGTGTCACATGGAGAGTGGTACCCTAATTCTCAGACCTAGTAATGTCCTTGGACGTGGAACCCACCCACGCATAGCCCTCTGCCCCATCAGGAGTGGTTGAAGCTGCTCAGTAAATATTGGATGGATGGATGGATGGATGGGTAGATAGAAATTAACAAATGAGCATTAGCTAGTCTCTAAATAATGCAAGCAATCATATTATTTCCTTTGTTAACCTACAGAGAAGTTCTTTAAGTGAGGACCATGTCTTGTACCTTGTTTGTAACCTCAGCACCTGGCCATGCTGAGAGCAGAGCAGACCCTCTGCAATTACCTCCTGAGCTAACCGGACCTCCGTTCAGGCCGAGATGGAATGCTGACTGTGCCCCCGCCAGGCCACATAGCACTTGGTTCGGGCAGGGAGGCAAATCTTCCAGGAGGAGCAGGTGTCTGGCCATCTGCCAGCCAGAGGTGAGCAGCCCCTACCTTGTCAGGGAGGCAGGTGGTCGTGGTGCAGCCGCAGTCGTTGGTGAGGGCCGAGGCCAGGTAGCCCCGTGGGCAGCTCACGGTGGAGCTGACGCAGTTACAAGCACACTCGTATTCCTCGCAGCACTGGGTCTTCCGAAGGGCCGGCGTCCGGTGCGGGGGACAGGAGGGCGGGGGCCCCGTCTGGCACTCCTCCTTCCTGCAGGCTGAGGGGCGGCACGAGGTGATGCCCTGGTCCTGCACACTGGGCACGGCACTCAGCCCGGGTTCCCGAGTGTTCAGCTAAAGGTCCCAGGGAACTCTAGCTCCTGGACATTAAATCTGAAATGCACGCACGAGCCCTGCTCAGAAGCTGCGGGATATTCAACCAGTCATACTGAAAACCAGCTCGTCTGCCAGAAAGTAAGGACATGAATCAGTAGGAGAAATGTGAGGCTAGTTTGATGGAGGAGAGGTGAAGGCTGCCCAGTGCCCCCTCCTCTGCCTCCCAGCCGGGTCCTTCCGGCTGTGGACCCCCACAGGTGCCAGACGTGGAGTCTCTAAGACCAGAGAGGCTGGGCACGCAGGTGCCGGCTGGCGTTCTCACAGGCTGGCGGCTTGAGTGGCCCTGTCCCCACCCTAGCAGCTACAGCAGTGACACCCTACAGTTTCAGGTCCTCCAGCAACGTTGAATGAAAGAACGACAGCGATCCTGTCAAATCCGCAATGTCACGTTATCAAGGCCGAATCCCACGCTGTGCCTGCCTGTCCCCAGCCTCCTTCAAACACTACATGCTGTCCCCTACCCGAGGGCGTGCATCTAGGAACTCAGGTCAGCGTCTAAATCCACAGGACAAGAGGTGGGTGTTCTCGGTAGCTAAATTTGGATAGAATTCAGTTTCTTGATATGTCTGCCTTTAGTCCATCCCAATGCTTAAATTGCAGTATTTAGAAATCAAATACACAAACACACAGAGGGACAAAAATCTACAAATTTCTTTGGGAATAAGATCCAGTGATGAGGACAAACCGTGGGAACACGCCCTCCACTCTGTGGCCTCCAAGAGGGAGGATGGGAGAAAATGGAGACCTCATCACAGGCCCACTGCCTCCTCATACAGCCCAAGAGCGGGGAGCCTGTCACCGCGCCCACACCCGGGGCCCCGTCGTTGCAGCAGCAGCTGGGAGGTTCTCAGAGGGTTCCGGGCAGGTGTGATCTCGCCCCTTCTGCTCCAGACACACCCCCAGCCCAGAGTCAGCTCACTAGATACAGGACAGGAGAGAGGGACTGCACCCCACCCTCCCCATCCAAGGAGGGAGGACTCACCACAGGTGAAGTTGGGTCTACACTCGCCGGGATTGGTCAGCGTCAGCTGGAGGCCATCGGCACAGGGAGGCACCAGGGGCAGGTCACAGGTCACCAGGTCGCACACTGAGGGCCGGGAGAGAGGGATGCGCACACCACTCTGCGAGGCTGCTCTTGTCCTATTGTGAGTGGCCTCTGCACTACATCCCTGCTCACAGGGATCTCTCCGGTTTCACGTATATGGTGATGATGAGATGGAAGTGGAGATGCAGAGAGAGAGAGCTGATGACAGACAGATAGGGACCCCAGACCTCGGCCAAGTCACTTGAACCGTCTGGACCTCAGGATCATCTTCTGTAAGGTGGGATGTCTACTTCACAGGGTCAGTCTCCATGTCGTGAAATAATGAAGGCAAAGTGCTTGGCACATTGGAGAAGCTTAAAAATATCCATCAAATGAGGGCCTTGAACTAAATGACCCCCAGTTCCCTCTACTGTGAACATCCTAAGATTTACTTTCCATAAATTGCTCTCAAGGCAGATCCACCCCACCAGGGGGCACCTGCTTATCCCTGATAAATTTCACCAGCATAAAGAACTGTCTCAAGAATACGAAAATGAATACACGCATCTGCGTGTGTGCCTGAAGCATTATCGTGTACACCGGAAATTGACACATTGTAAACTGACTACACCTCAATAAAAAAAATTAAACAAGAAGAGCTGTCTCAGATTATTTCTTTTCTAGATCCTCAGTCTGTCCCTTGATCCATCTGCTCTCCCTCAAAGGTTCGTATGGTCACAAATTTCACTCGCCCGTGCTTTATGGCTTCATCCGGACGATCAGAAACACACCGGACAGGACAGGGACAGGGCGCTAGAGGTTTCTGGCCTGTTAAGCATAATTCCATCAGCTCTGGATTCATTTAATTACACCGTTATTCAGCCCATTTTGCACAATGTAACTTGCAAGCCTATAATGAACCCCTTTGACAAATAACTTGCTGAAACCATGGTGCCCGTGTGCGGCCTCCTCTGCGGTCACTTTGGTAGGACTGGCTCCTCAGTAAATCCCTCGCCCCCCTCCCCCCAGTGATCACTCTGTTCTCTGCAGGTAGAGCTGACGCACAACATTACGTAAGCCTCAGGCGTACAACACAGCGAGTCACCATTTTTAAAGGTGGTTGCTCCCGTCACGGTTACTGTAAGACACTGGCTGTCTTCCCCGTGCTGGACAGTACATCCTTGTATCTTACTTATTTCATACACAGTAGTTTGTACCTGTTAACCCCCTACCCCTCCCCGTCTCCCCACTGGTAACCACCACTACTTTCTTCTCGGTACCCGTTATTCTGTTTCTTTCTGTTGCGTTCACCAGTCTGCTGCATGTTTCAGTCCACACGTAAGGGATCTCACACACTAGCTGTCTGACTTACTTCACTAAGCAAGCTACCCTTCACGTCTACTGATGTCGTTGCAAACGGCAACACTTTCATCTTTTAATGTCTGAGTGGTGTTCCATGGTAAGCATACACCCCATCCTCTTCAACCAGGCATCTGTCGATGGGCAGTCAGGTTGCTTCTGCATCTTGGCTACTGCAGACAGCGCTGCTGGGAACTCTGCACCCCACTGCTTTTCATGCTCTGCAACCTTACACTCAGCAAGTCCCTGCAGGGTTTTTCTAGGAAGCAAATCGTTTTCCAGAGGCTACTCTCTCCAAGGTTTGGAAAGTCCACAGCCCTTTCCCAACCACCCGTGACATCGGTGGCATCGGCGGTACCCTTGGCTCCCCGGGGCGGAGCTGGGGTGGGACCTGGAGAAAGGCCGGGGGGAGGGGGACACGTACCACACTCGTACTCGGGGCAGCACTGGCGCGAGCCCTGGCGGAGACGGGCCACTTCACACGGGCCGCACGCGGGAGCTGGGGGAGAAGAGGCCACAGGGCTCAGGGAAGTGGGTAACGGTACACGCTGTGGACTCTGGCCCACGGGTACCCAGCACAGGCCCTGCGAGGCAGGAGTCGGGCGTGGGCCCTCTGACCGTGGGTCTCCCCGCTGTGTCCTGCTGTCCCCCTTGTGTGCCCTCAGGAGACCGAGACTGAGGGCCAAGGTGGGGATGGGGGCAGGCTCACCCTGAGAGCTCCACCCCACATGCAGACAGGGGACCCCAGCCCAGAGAGGCAAGGAGGGCAGGGCTGGCAAGGAGACATCCACATTTGGACCTAGTCCACCAGGTCTGAAGACAGGGCGCCCTTCGGGGAGGGGCACTCACCTCTGGCCGTGGGGCAGGGCTGCGCCGTGCAGTTGACCCTCCGCCCGCTGAGACACGTGCAGATCTGGCAGGGCTGGTGGTCCGGGACCCACGTTTCTAGGAACTGAGGGAAAAGGAGGTTCAGAGAGGAACCAGGGCACTGGGGACACAAAGCCCAGGCCTTCATGGAAGTCGGGTCCCCCCAACCTCTGGCTTGGTCTCCTGGGATGGGGAGGCGGAGCCTGAGCCACGCCTGTGTCAGAGCCGCGCAGGCGAACCCGGGCAGGCTGACAGATGCTGTGGGGTCCCGAGAAGGAGGGGCACCAGGGGCGCCTGGGGAGACCAGCCTCCACCGCTTCATACCCTCAGGAAGGACAAACCCCAGATTTCAGAAAACGTGGAGCTCTCCTGCAGCCTTCCCTGATGGTGGCTTTGAAACCAAGCAAGGCCAGAAACGCAAATTCCCCTGTCAGCCCACTGGCCACCTCCCAAGCCAAAGGAGAGGCTGGGATGCAGTTTGGAGAGATTCCACACGTTTCTGCAGTTGATTTTAGACTGTGGAGCAGGGAGGGTTGAAGCAGGGACAGCAAAACTCTCAGAATCGTGACATTATTGGGGCTGGGTGTGATTTTTGAGACCCACGTGCATTTCCAGGCGAGGCTCCTCCTGGCTGGTAAAGAGACACTCTCAGGGCTGCGCGCACCCCCACTACATGAGGGCTTTGAGGTCAGGGGGCCGCACCCCGCTGCGCTGCTGCCTGGCTCCCTCCTGCCCGCCTGCCTCTCTGGACGGCCCGGGACAGGAGGCGGTGACAGCAGAGCCCAGACGGGGTCTCCCTCTAGCCTCGGCCATCACGTGAAACTATGGTTAAATCGTCCCTGAATAAACGCATTCGTATCCAGCAGCTCAAAGTCCGCTAAAAAGTTCCCAGGTCAAGAAGGTCTTGCTTATTCCGTCAGCTTCCCAGTCAGCACCAGTGGCTGAGAGGAAGGAAATGCATGATCGCCGAGTAAACCCCCTCCTACGAGCTGCCCACCCTCCATCCTCGGAGGGACTAAACCTCAGATGCAGCCCCTTGACACCCTCCACTCAGTCCGCCCATACAACAGCCCCCGCCCGTCGGGGGCAGGTGCTGCACGGCAAGATTTAAGGGCTTTACGTAAACCACCCATTCAATCCTCACCGCAGCCCCACAACCGAGACATTCTTACTATTGTCCCCACTTGTCAAGTGAGAAAGCTGAGGCGCTTGCGAGGGGTCACGCCGTCACAGCACAGAGCGGAGGCTGGGACCCACAATCCGCCTTCCCCCAACAAAAAGCACAGAATATACATGCTTTCAAAGTGCACCGGGAACATTCTCTAAGATGGACCACATACGCAGACACAAAAGAAGCCTCAGCACATTAAAGAGGAACAGAAATTAATTT